AGGGGATGGTGGTGCAGGGGATGGTGGTGCAGGGGATGGTGGTGCAGGGGATGGTGGTGCAGGGGATAGTGGATGGAGATGTTGTGGAAGCAGATAACATTACCTTTCCCAGCAATGGCACAATGCATGACCAAAGTCTCAATATGAACAGGTCTTTTTTTTCACTGCAAAGCTTTGACATTTCACCTATGAAACCCTGCAAAATATAAAAAAATTTTAAAACCAAAACTGTATTTTTTTAGAAATAGAACACTATGCTTCATTGAGTAATGCAGCACAAAAAGGTTAGATGAAAGTATAAAAAAGGTGCTTCTTTATGGCTTATGGCACCTTCTGAGTGCTGATTACTAATCAGAGAAAGCTGTTTGTTTGTATTATTATTATTTTTTTTTTAATGTGGATTCAATGTAGTTTTTGCACTTCTTTGAAGAGCTGGCGTGCAAGCACAGATATTTAAATCACCATGCTCTAATTTTTGAGGTAACATAGCATTGAGGTAACTATAAAATATACTTATCAAATCATACTTACAGACTTCAAAAGTGGCAAAAACCAAGGCAGTATTTCCTCTCTTGCAGAGATTATTTTATCAAGGTGTGAAGACACAATTGCCAGAGAGTATTCTCGAACCTGTCAAACAAATGTATTTTTTTCTTATTTCTCCATCATTCTCAATGCAGCAGTGCCATCAGATGTTTAGGCCTATCCTTTTACTTATATATCATACAAGGTATATATATTGCTTTTATACCTTTCCAGCGGAGCTAATAGTCATAGGGAATACCAGCTTGCTCCAGTGGGCTGTACTTTTGATCATGACAGAATCAGGTAATTGCTGCAAAAGTCTGAGAATAAGATAAATTTAAAATATTAGAAAACTGTAAACAATCATGCAATAGAGACTTTGCACCATCACAAGACGATACAACAATAGAGTCTTTTCCCCCCCGGAAACTGAGTTCTTTCTCATGTAAATCAGATTAGACCAGAATCAATTGTTACTGCCTCCTGTCATGGCTGTCATCATGTGATGGTGCAAAGCCTCCTTAGTGTAGCTGCAAGAGTCTAACAACATGATGATTTTGGATTTGCAATGTCTGTTGTCTGACCATTATCTTAGCTCTGCAAGGAGCAAAGAAAGAGTAGCTATAATTTCACATTTACCTGTCAACAACACATATTGCTTCATTATCAACAGTAGTAGACTGTAAGTTCTTCTTCAAAGCACACTCAATTGATGAAAGAATAGCTGAAAGCTGAGMACAACAAAAACACTTGAAATACTAAATATGACTTCTCACACACCACTGTGAGCTATTGTCCAGCTGACCGCCGCCAACTGACTTCTTTATTTCTGACTAACTCAACATATGCATTACTGTAATACATCATTCTTATCATCGCAACGTGGCTTCCATGAAAAACTACTCTAAAGTCCTTCCAGCAATGTTGGCCTAGGGTTGGGGGGGTACTGTGGGGCTAACTAACAGTCATGGCGGACAGCGAAAAAACAACTGATGAAAACACTGACCACGTGACTAATATCCCTTGGCCCAGGCTCCAGTGGTGTGAGAAACATTTTCCACTTATTTCGTTCCTCAGCCAGTGGAAAATACAACATTGGTATGGTCAACAATGGGAATCAAAACTGTTTTATTATAAAGTAAAAAAAATGTCATGTGAAGATGATATTTTTTGTTTATTCAACACAACCCCAGCTTCATATTGTCTTGAAGGATCTTAGCTTCTCTGTAAATAAAATAGTTTAGTACCATACAAATATTACCTGTTCAAACACAATATTTTCTGGAAGATTTTGTTTAGCAATACACCACAAGGCTCTGGTACACACACCCTTATCTTCTGTGGTAGATATCACTTTGGTAAGACCTACAAAGATATGAAGACCAACACTTGAAACTGTCAATGTCCACTTGTATTAATAGTATTAACATTAATATAATAACAAATAAAAGTCTCAGGRATTGCACGTGGATCCCAGATCTAGTTCGAGCAATGGGATTAAARGCATTGTGTCATGAGTAACAATAGAGGCTTTGCACCATCACATGAAGGCAGCTATGTTGTATGGCAGGAACAATACGATTGTTTTACATGAGAAAGAATTAAATACCCTAGGTCAAAGGGATTTTATTGTTCTGCCAACTAACCACAGGCAGTCCAAGCTGTATTATGGGTGCTAGCACGTGATGGTGCAAAGCCTCTATTCTTTAAGAAGCCCTTGTCACACAAGAGAAGTGAAAGTTTCCACAAACCTTGAAGTAGAGCTTTACTGTCATTTTCAGTAAATGTTCTGTGGGGATAAAAGTGATAATACAGTAGGAATGAAATGCTCATTTACAGTAGTATTAGCAGTAGCAGTGTTCTAGTAGCATGCATTATTGGTATTGTATTGTTACCTTGCTATTTGTTGCTGGTAAAGACAGTGACCAAGTGCTTGTAGAGAAGCTTGACATACTTCTGTTTCTTGGTTTACCATATCATTCTGTAAATGCAAAGTCGTAACATTGTTTATCATAGATCTTATTTAAGATCTTTAAATGAAAAGAAAAATTTGAAATCTTATCTATCCCTGGTATAACCTCTGAGATAATCTAAGTCAGGGCATGGCTAACACAGATTGAACCCTGAAACAACCTCTGGGCTGATCTAAGTCAGGGCACGGCTAACTCACAGATGGAACCCTGAAACAACCTCTGGGCTGATCTAAGTCAGGGCACAGCTAACTCACAGATTGAACCCTGAAATAACCTCTGGGCTGATCTAAGTCAGGGCACAGCTAACTCACAGATGGAACCCTGAAACAACCTCTGGGCTGATCTAAATCAGGGCCTGGGTAATTCACAGATTGAACCCTGAAGCAACCTCTTCGCTGATCAAAGTCAGAGCACAACTAACTCACAGATCAAATTGGAATTTAGTGTGTTACGTTTTGCAAATTGGAGAACCCAGAGAATCAAGAGACACAGAACTGAGTCTAATGACAAGAATTGAACTGGAGAYCACACGGGGGAGAGGCAAGTGCACTATCATTATGCCAATCTTGCTCTTCCCCCCCAGCCCCACCGTATGAGGGTTACTAGAATATATGACGTTCTACTAATACACCTGTCAATGTGAAGCCCCAGGGTCAGCAGGGGTATAATGTTTTCCCATTTTAGACCATGTGTCATTCCTTAGAGTATCCTTTCATTGCTTAAATGTTACAGTTACACGAGAAAACACATGAATTCACAATTTTCCATACATCRGTTCACTGGTCAAACACAAAGCATTTAGTCGAGGTTGCAAGATTCGAATTTGAATAATCCTTTGAAAGTAAATTGGTGGCTCTCTTGAGCACTTTGTGTTTGACTAGCGAACCAATGTATGGAAAATAGTGAATAAGGAGAACCAATGTATGGAAAATAGTGAATAAGGATACAACTCAAACAAAGAATGTTATTCTCAAGAGAATGACATGTGGTCTGAAATGGGAAATCATTGCACCCAAGCTAAAAGGCTCTATTTCCCTTCCCCAGGAATTTAACACATGTTGAATTATGTTCCCTCTCTAAGGATGCATGAATTGTCAAAATCCTGACCCAAATTGCAAGCTTTTATGTCAATTTTCCCTGGGGTGCCCATCCACCTCCCCTCTCTTTCGCTATAGGTTCATTATTTCCAGTGTGTCTGACCTTAAATACAACAGTAAGTTCTTCAACATGACTACACACTTCAGTGACAAATACATCTTGTTCCTCTCGTAACTGCCTATTAAAAAATATATTTAATGCAAAATTTAAGATCATTAGTGAATCGATATATGATAATTAATACCATTAAATGTATTAGATACCATAGCTACCACTATAACTAAAGTCAAAGATTAGTATTGCAAGTTTAAAACATATTTTGCCTAGCTTATCAAAGTTTTACCTTCTCTCTCTCTGTTAGCTTTAACTTTAAATACCCGTAATAAGGAATGCACCAGTAGATAATTGCAAGGGGGAGTGGGGTACAGGAATTTAAGTTTAACAATTGATGGTTTTCACAGCAGCCATATTGGAGGAACTTAACAAAATTGTCAATGAATTCTTTTGTTATATCCTCCAACATGGCCACCGTRTCTTTTGTTATTTAATTCTCTTGGGAATGGTTGAAAACCATCAATATTTATTTTTTCCGTAACAACCTCTTCACACCATTTTTTTACATTGCTCAATATTTCTTTACTGAAAAGAGAGGTTGCCTGATATATTTTTCACTCCCTTCCCCCTGAATTATCTAATGTTTCGTCCCTAAGGAGTGCTGATACTCTGAGTGGGTAAAGGGCGTTTATAAATGAGCCCTTGGCTCGGGAGAATTGGGCAACCACTCCCCGCGTTATAAAGGAAAAATAAATTACCCTACACATGCATGGAATAAGCTAAATTTTATAGAGGAATTCTACATGATCTCCTCAAAATTTGATGATATAATCAATTTTGATATATAAAGCAATGAAACTGGATTTATCTAACTCATAACCTAACTATAAGAAGCAGAAGATGTACAAATATTGGTATTAAAAATGTTCTAAAATAATAATAACTTACTCTGTGAATCTGAAGTATGCGTCAACACGATCATCGCTGGGTGCCGACTTATCCTCAATAGAACGAAGAAGAGGCAGAAACGGGCTCTCACATTCAGGTATAGTCACCATTGTATCTTAATCTGAATGATTTCGATGCTGTTCGGGCAATCAGTTAGCTCGCATGCTAGCTGTACACAAGATTAGACAAGTCAAGGACATCACATGTATGTGGACGCCATTTTGGAATGGTTTGGAATCTTGGTCGTAAATTTTCTTCGTTTTTACTTCAAAGCATTAACATTTTCGACCCAAAATAATCCTGTTTTACGACTTACCTTTTATGTTTTCAAATACAGCCGCTTTTAAGGACTTAAAAACAGAGTTTTTGTGAAAAATAATAATAAAATCGAACAAGCTGACTCGACTTTCTTGTTCAATTTGCCGCCAACTCGAAGGATTCCGCGCCAAACCAAGCATTCTGCATTTTGATTGGCTGAATAAACAACTAGTACTCAGTTCTCTGTAATCCTTCCACAGGTAACCCAAGCTGCTGGTTAAGAGCATACTTTTTGTTGTGAAATTACTCGAAACTCACTCGAAGGTATTCTGAAGTCGGAGCTAGCAAGAAAATACTGTCATTTGAGTATGAAGTCACTACTTTAAAGATGTGAATATATATTTTTTGCATATATTTTWAAGTTTAATTATTTCAACATTTCATGAGGTGGTCACCTCGCATGGGTCTCGTGTCCCGGAAGTGACTTTCCTTTCTGGGTAACTATTAGTTTTTTTTTTCTATTCAACATATTGTAATATTAGTTTCCCAATAAAGCTGTTAAAAAAAGATATATTATCCTTTTCGTTACCATGTATTATAATAAACATCTCATCTCGTCCCAAACCCCCTATACCTTCCTCTTCCCAAATAGTACCCCACCCAATAGACCAACTCGGACTAGACTCTTTTTATTGCCTCTAGACATTGCTTTATTTCAGTTCAAAAGACATCAAAATGATTTTAATGATTTTAATACCTAAATAACGTTGTGAATATTCGTATTTATGTTAATAAAAGAAATAAAACGAGAGTTTAGGCATTCAAGAATAATTATTTAGTCCAGAATTCCATGCATGTTTTTTTTCAGTTTTCCACCACGATTTTCACATGATAAGCATGTACGACAAATGGAACTAAGAATGAGCCAGAGCTAAYAAAAAACCCTTTTAGGTTCTACTGCGTAACTAATTACATAGGAAGCCAGGCTGCTTGATTTTTTGGTAGAGAAGCAGTCTTAACTTAAGAGGCAAGATCATCATTGATCATCATGGACGACCATGTAATAATATCTGTCATCCCAAGTAGAATAGTCAGGATCCACGTCAGGGATATCTGCGTTGTCAGGATAATCCTCGCTTGGAAGGATTTTATCCAAGGCAGTTAGAAGGAGCTGTGGAGCTGAAGAAAAGATGATGCATTATGGTAATGCCACATTAATTGCGCAATAATTAAATCAGGACTGATACAGTACACAGAGAGGCCCCACACGGCCTCTGGCACCCAGGGTAACAGATAACGGAAGCAAAGGGGAAGTAGACGCAACTTGAGATTTTGCACTGCACACAAGGCCCGGTAACGGCACGATATTCACACATTAAAGATATATAGGACTTATACATCTTACATTACGACCCCAATAAATAATTCTGATAGGTGTTAAGAAAACATTAAGTGATCCATTCAAAATACTTGGGCGTAGCAACATCATTGTCACGTGCGTGCTCTATTCTTGTCATCGCACTCTTCTCCTTTGAACCTGCCCACATTGATTAATGTACATGATATATTTCAGTTGCAACATCAGTTTTGTATTTCCATTTTCAGAAATTAAATCTACCGGTAGGAAGGTGAATAAACCTATTGAAAGCAAGCATCAATTGATCGATACAACTGCTTACCATCCATTGGAGAACGATGCCGTGAGCGTGGCTCCAGTACATCTTGGACATAACCACAGCGGGATTCCTTTCGTGACCTGGTTGATCCTTGAACACCAAGAATAATGAGAAGGACTTCCACAACTCCATTCATCACATGTTGAAGGGCAAACACACGACCCAGGTAACAGGATTAATGAAGAAAGTGTAGACTGCGTTGACAACGACGTGTCGGAAGTATTCAGCCACAACGAAAGGAAAAAATATGAGGCRCAAGATATTGAGATACATATCAAAGGCCATTCTACATGTTTTCTTATACCAGGCTTGCACCTGATAAACGTATTCCATCAAGGTATTTCGTAGGCAAAGATAGGCTCTGATGAAGYGTTGGATGACGGCATTGATGCATTTRATGGTAACCATGATTGCCATGGTAATGCTAAAGATTCCCACAAATGCAACCAATGTAATCAGAAAAAAAGGCATGAGAAACAAAAAAACTGAAAAGATCTGGATAGCAAGTACACAAGCAGTGACGAAGAACCCAACGCTTCCRAAAACACCCAGGATACACAGGACTGGAGAAAACGCAATGATGAACAAGACAGTTAGAAAGAGTGTTGAGAACGACCTCTGCCTCAAAGCCTCAAGGAATCTTGGTGCTGCTTCCTTCAGGCGTGTTGCCGTTGATTTGTTTCTTTCAGCTATGATCTCTTGTTTTCGTTTTTYCCGCTCGTCTTCCATCCATCTTCGTTCTCCCAGTGTCTCACTCGGAGAAAAATCTAGAATAGAAATAATTGTCAAACGGGTTTGTGTTATGAATATAGGTTAATCTGTCATTGTGTCAACGAAATTTTTCATCTTGCGCATAATACAGGAATGAGAGGAGTGATGTGTGGCTCGGATTATAGCCAAAATTTACCACAATACCATATATCCATGTTTTCAATTAAAGCGAGAAAAAGAACTRGCAGACTAGTAAGCGAAAACGCAATATTTAGCGCATCGCATTTTGAGGAAGCCAATTCAGTGTCTTCAACGTCCGCGGCAAGTTGCATTAACCAATCCCAACCAAAATCATTTTTGTAATTTTTGTATTCAAATAAAATTAGCACCCAAAATCATTCTCACCTTGCACGTAGTTTGGTCTTGAACAATAGCCATTAAAACCCATAAAATCTATTGCTTGATTTAAGTAGCTTTTYACCTCCATGGTCGATGAAAGGCTACGATTAATTAAAGTAATTGATCAATTGTGCGGCGCGTTCAAAGCCTCGATTAAGTTAATTAAAACGTAATTGGATTGATGACTTCGATTAATTAGATAGATCGACTAATTGCGCATGCGCAACTAAAATAGTTGGCTTGATTTATGACATCATATCCGTCGTTTGAATAGCCCACTTCTGAGATATGCTTCGCTTGTCACGCACAAAGGTTTCAGTATGAGGCTACGTGCTAAATGTTCAGTCATTTGTGACAGGCGGTAAGAATAAATTTAATTTAGCACGTAGCCTCATACTGAAACCTTTGTGCTTGACAACCGAAGCATATCTTGGAAGTGGGCTATTACTACATCGTTTATACCACAGGGAACCCCAACAGCATTTTAATTTCAAACGGTTTCTTAGTATAGTTAGGAATAAGCATCATTATTTTTTTATTTTTTTATTTTTTGTAGCCAAACTAAATGCGCACTCAGTTCTACAAATTTAATTTGCGGTTTCAAGAAATCTTTAAATGTGAGGCAATATGTTGCTTTGCTTCTCGGTTCCTGGACTCGTTTCCATGCGATTTGAGTTTGTTAGGTCTTTGTTATGTAGTTATGGGTTTCCTGTGTCTTGATTTGCAGGGTTTTCCCGGGGCTTTAAGATTTTGCTCTTTCCATAAGATCTAACAAACTGAATATATCTATGTAATGCATGTCAATTAGGTATGCCCTGACCTTGATCAGGCTGGTGGTAAAATATAATCTGGTGGTTAGAAAATTGAACAAGATTAAAGCGCCTATGACCCCTAACTCAATGTTTTCAGCATTGATTCTACATGAAGTTAAAAGTTAGATAGTAAAATATTTTTATTTGATTTGAGTGATGCATCTTGGAGATATCAAGGTTTATACTTCTAGTATGCTAATGAGTGTGATGTCATAGTAGGCATTTGGGTTTATTTGTCATCATTTTTAAAACAAAACACTGATTACTATGAGRAAACAAATTTGCAATAACCTTTCTATTAACCCTGAGTAAGATAATTATGTTTAATACAGGATATTTTACTAACCCAGTAAGTTTTCATATATTTAATAATAACAGACTCAGTCTAGTCGAAGTATCCGTCAACCCAGCGAACCATATGGTTGGAGAAAAAAACAACAAAACAATTTTGAACAAATTTATTTTATATTTTTATTTTGTATGAACTTCTAAAATCTGCACAAAAATATTCCATATTTCAACTAGAGATAAAAATATATCGAAATAAAAAAAATTACAGGCATTTCGGCGAGTAAGATGGATATTTTAAACCGCTAAAAGCGAGGTTTTACAACATATAAACTGAATTAAGACAATCATGTATATTATGATTTACCATAGTGTATATATATTCTACTGTTGTAAACTTGACTATTTTTTAACCTAATTTAACTTGACTATTTTTTTAACCTAATTTGACTGATCTATAAATATCATTGATTAAGCTTGGTTGATATGACAACCGCGAATCAAATGAATTCTAATGATTAAAAATATCAAATTCTTATCCATTGTTCTATGTCAGATTGACCAATGGGAGTCTTTATTTTTTTGACCTGCAATGAGCTCCTCACCCGCGAGAGCTTACCATTTTTATGGAATAACCAAGTTATTAGCTAAACCTATGTACTCTAATTTGATAAAATATAATATTTTTAAGAATAGGCTATTTGCAAAGGCACTAAGATTTGGTATATGAACTAATACCCTGTATACAACAGAATTTCTTACTGGCCCAAAAGGAATAACAATAAGCCGGCCTTGGTTTTAAACTAYATTAAAACAGAACAGCAAAATACCGTTTAGGAAAAACGCAAATTTATTTATGGTTCACCTGCTTTAAGCTAGTAAATTGTAAATCAAGACTAACTATGACAAACGCGACACAAATACAAACAAGCCAGCGTTCTTGTAAGATACGCATGCGTATTGATTGCTGTTTAAACTATTTAAAGTACGCATGCGTGTTGTATAGTTTGCGCATGTATTTCCATTTGTGAACGCTGCTCAATCTTGAGTTTGACTTCACAAGTGGATAAGAAAAATTTGAGATTCTTTATGAAAATTAAACCATCAAAACTCAACGCGCTTCGCAGGGAAATTCTGAGCTTCACAACTTACACTTTACTTGACGATAAGGCTGTCAGTATATTTWTATATATTTTTTCCTGTTTTGGCTGTTTATTTTGCTTTGTTTAAGTCGTGATTCCGACCAGCGGGTTCACGTGACCCCTAAAGTTGATTGCAACCGCTGCGCATGCTCAGTTTAACCAACYTAAAATATGCGCACAAAATACGCACTCTACGATCTGCGAAAATACTCTTAATACTGTTAAGATACTGCTTTTGTCGATAGCATTTCAGTCACAACCATTTTATGTATGCAATGCATCAGGGATAGCTTCTGTAGTTTTGTCAAAATTCTATAATGCATTGCAAAACAAGATGACGTTTTATATGACGTGAATCCCTATTTTTAAAACAACCAACTTTTTTTGAGTTTGCCGCTTTTTAAAATCACTTGTTCAAAATAATTGCACGGACCTAAYCTAATGTTTTCCCATCTCAGATCGCAAATCCAAGCATTCATTCTTTTTTCAGACACGAGTAGCTGGATTGATCGATAATCCGAACAAATTGCCCTATTTCATAATGACGTCACATTAAAACAAACTATTGTTTTAACGCTAGGGATCATGGTCGCTGGAAAGGGATGGAATAAAAACAACACATCTTAAATCACAATGATTATGAAATAGGGCAATTAAAATTATAATTTGAAAGGAATGATGCATGATCTAAAATGGGACGACATTTTGTCCAATGGATAAGGTCTATAGATGTATAAACCTTGATTTATCTTATATATAACTAGAGAGTATAAACTTCCAAGATATGGATCCTTYTTTTGGAATGAATATACGAGTTTGCATCGATTGAATTTAATTACCTATTTAGTCTAATGACCTAAGTGYTGTATGTTTTTGATTATTCCTTGCATAAGACTAACTACACTAAACTTGTTTCTTACTCCTATATATTATRTGCTCTTTCAAAGTCTAAGGTCACCTGTCTTTTCTATTTTGACAGCTTTGCAAAAAGACGCGAGCGCAGCCATGCTGGATGAAGGAATGACAGRTTTTTTTGTCTTCCAACATAGCTGTAAGCACGTGATTGTCCAAAGCCTTTCTACCTTGAATGGTAAAGCAAGCGTCGCGTGACGCTTCCAGATCAKTCCCGCGTGACACTGCTGTTTMTCCATYCCAAGCATTCTTGCGTGATGCTTTGTCTCTCCTTTCTTAGWRTTCTCCCGTGACWYTGTTGTCTCTACTTCCCTCCAGTGGTCTCGCGTGACACTTGTATCTTCTACCCAAAGAGACTTAYGTGACATTATGTCTACCATAGCATTCCACGTCACATACAACACGGTCTTGCAGCTTATATCCTACTTTCATTCACCAACTATGTCCATATAAATGATAAATCTTGGGGTCTTTATTCAAAGRTGGTTTGCCAGGTCTACAAGAGGTGAGCTTAGGTAATCGGTGTTCATTGCTGTGTTATCATACAAGAGGTTTTTTAAGTATGGTTCTTCGGTATGAATACAGGTCTCA